CGCGGCATGATCGACTCGAGTCCGTGTGAGAGAGAGAGAGAGAGAGGTGTCCTCGCACTGCACTGACTCCTTAGCATGCCGATGGATGACCTGAGTGAGGCCTACGGGGGGTTTTACATCGGTCATGGGCTTAGCAGGGGTGTGTTCGGGGGGGTTTGACAAGGAGCACTCAGGGGAACTCGGCATCGGCCCTAATACAGGGTGAACACGACAGACACGCGCCGAGGGGGTAGGCCTTCGGGCCAGGGTTCTTTCGGGAGCCCACACCCCTAGCAAGCAAGCAAGCAAGCAAGGTGTCCTCGAGGCCGGTAAGAAGACGACGTGATGGACCCCCGTTCAGTCCATACATCCAGGGCTGTTTCTGCTCAAGCCCGTGCGCTATCGCCGGAGTGGCAGAATCAAGCCTTGGGAGAGATACGCAGAAACCCAGAGATCATGGGGTGAATTGAGCTGCAAGGACTCCAAGTCTCAGCCGGATGGCGGAGCATGGACTCGAGCTCCTGCTGAAGTCAACGCGATGATGTGTAGTGGGATCGGCAAGACGGTCACCCTTGCCAAACCTTTGGACTCGCTGCCACAGATGCTGCCACTTGGTTCGAGTATTCCTTGTAATTCTGCAGAAACAGCTGTCTCGAAGTCAGGAGCCTGCGCTTGGTGCCGGATAACCGTAGATGCACCTCCGTGATGGGCCCACTGGTGACGAGCCAGAGGTGGTCTGGGAGCTTAGCTTTGCTGGAGGAGTGTCGGGACTCGGGACATACTTGTGCATGCCAGAGTCGATCGTGAGAAGATCTGATTTGGCCTGCCGTATTGGGAGGACATGTTCGAGGCAAGCATTTTGCCGGATGTGCAGTGCTGGAATGTGGCTGCAGTGAGGGGGTCTCACTCAAACTGGCCACGTGCGCTGTCGTCCGTTCTGCGGATGGAGCAGCTGGAGGTGGTGCCAGATGTTGTGACTTTCAGCACGGAGCCCTGGCCGAAGGATGTCTTGTTTGCCGGCAGTGTTGCGATATCTTGTGATTTACGGTAGCATGTAGTGAATCCTAACTCTGAGCAGCTTATTCAGACGAAGGCCATGGGCGCGACTTTTGGGTCGGAATGGGGCTGGGGCCTCATGCTGCTCCGGCACAGCGAAGACCGCGGCGTACAAAGAGATTGCATAAGCTCCTTCGGTGGCAGCTAGCATGCAGGACGGGGATGGCAGAGCAGAGTTTACAGGAGGTGCTAATTCGTGAGGCAGCAGCAAGAGACTCTGTCACAGGCGCACGCGCCAGAGATTGCGTCGAGGGAGTTTTTTCCACTGAGAAGAGCAGAATTAGGGCTGTGATGATCGGGAAACCGGGCCGAAATCTCGCAGGGGGGATAGCAGGTCTCGAGATGTAGTGGTCTGTTTGTCGTAGAGCGCTTTGGTGCGATGTTAGGGGGGAGTTTTGGAGTGGCCGTCAGCAGCTTGTGCTCTCCAAGAAGCCGTGGCATAGGTTACAACGTGGCGATGAGCCGTTGTGCCGATGCTGGCGAATCTTGCTGGACTTCTTCCTTGCCCCTTGGAAAAGTATCTGCGCTTGCCGTCCGAGGCTGTTTCGCCCGTTTAGGATTGTGTATGTGCAAGTCAGGCACATTCTCTCCGCCCAGGGCGACTCCGGGACTGGACCGGATGCCACCAGCATCCGAACTCTACTTTATGCTTTGGAGCAAGCAAAAGCCTGGCAGCAAACCGCAGCTCTTCTCGACTGCCTGGACAGCTTTGGAATCGTTCCAGGCACGAACCTTGGCTTCAACAAAAAGAAGCTAGCTGGACCGCAGAGGGTGGGGGCATGAAGAGAACACCGCTATGCATTGCATGCCCGGTGGTTTGAGGCTGCACAGTACGTTTGGAATCGCAGCACTTCGGCGAGCCGAAAAATGGGAAGCAGTTGTGGACAACTTGTTGGCCATGCCAGCCAGGAGGACAACGCCAAACGCTGCTTGCTACCACGAGGAGTGCATGGAACTTCGGTAGATTTTCTATGATTTTGTCACGACCCTGCCAACCCTGTGCGGCAGGTAGCAGCCGGTTGCCACAAACATTGGGAGTTCGGCATCGCGCTTGTCAGCTTGTCTGCGGGCATCCTGCGCCGCAGCTTGCCTCTCGTCACCTCTGCTCTTCAGCTCCAGGCTGAACAGGCATGGCACCGGGCGCTGAACATGCTAGGCCGGGTCAGCCATGGCGGAGTGGGGCTTCAGCAACTCATGCCACGGCCTGAGAGACTGCCTCGAGGTCTGGTTCGTCAAGCGGGCATGATCCCGGATGCTGTTGCGATTACTTCATTCGGCCGAGCCGGTCGTTGGCGAAGTACTCTCAGGTCCGACTCGCTTGACTGAAAAAGTACTTCTTGCCAAGCCCACACCACAGGATTTTGTCTGCAGCGCAGCATGCCGACATTGAGACGGACCTGATTGCTTACAATGTAGTGTGACTCTCGGTCAGACCTGTCTGTGTGTATGTTTCGGCCTGGGTGCGGTTTTTGGATGTTAGAGTTAAGGTGGCAGCAGGCATTGCCGCTGAAAGCGTCTGGCGAGAAGCGGCAGTTTCCATGTGCCAGGCAATCGCGAAGTCAGTGCGGCCAGATGCTGCCAGCGTAAACATCCAGCTTAGTTCCGGAAAGTGGAGTTGGGCCCTGGACTTGTTGCAACGACAAGTGGCGGCCCGATTGAGAAGAACAACCATGCATTTCAACACGGCCGTCAGTGCTTGCGAGAAGCAGGGCGACTGGGCACGTTCGCTGCAAGTGTTTACTTGCATGCAGCAAAGCGGAGGAGAGCCCAATGCTGTAACCTTCGGAGGGAAGATATGTGCCGACGCAGAGCAGTCCTGGCCAGCAGCGCTGCATGGTCTACATGCGATGAGTCATGACCTTCTCATTCTGCCCAGCGCCATCCACTACGGTGCCCTGTTGGGTGCAGCTGTGCACAACGAAGTCTGGGAAGCAGCATTGCAATGCTTTTCATGGATGTACAAGGCGCAGCTGCCACCGTCAGACAAATGCATCGACCTGGTAATCGTTGCATGCGAGAATGCTGGACAGAAGGGCCATGCACTCATGGCACTGTGGCAGTCGGAGGACCTTCCCGGCGACGCTACTGCTTCAGAATTTGTGAACGAATGATCAATACTTATCACCATAGTCAATGGCATGAGGAATTGGTAAGCAATTGTGAATAGTAGCATGCAGACTAGTCACAATGGCGGTAATCTCCAGTAGTGCTACCAAGCTGATAAGTATTACTTTGAGCAGGAAAGCAGCATGCGTACAGCTTCCACGGCCACTTTCTGCCTGACCACGCCTCAGCCAATGCTGCTGCAAACCACTCGAAGGCATAACATTTTGAGCCGCACGGAGCCTGCAGTCTTGGCTAAGGGCCTTGGCGCGACTCTCTGTGCGCGAGCCAGCAATTCTGCATGCCGCCTTTGGCAGCATGCTGGCTGAGCTGGATCATCATGATGCAGAGGTCTGACCTGAGTTGGTTCCAGGCTATTCCTAGAAGTATTCGTCCCCTGTAGATGCAGGACTTGGCAGCACTGTGGTGGTCCTTTGCCATGCTGGGAGCCTGGAGCCCGAAGGTCATGCAGGCTGTCCGTACCAAGCCACTCGACCTAAAAAGGCCTACAAGGCAAACATAAAGGCCGAAGGTTGTAGTCTTAGACACACCCGCACATATGCAAGCACAAGCAGCCTTCACTAGGTGTCGACTTAAACTGAAAAGGTTTCGAGACAGTCAAGGGCTTTGCAACACCATGCCGACTGGGCATATCCTGTGGGACATGCAGGTTGATGGCCAGTGAGCTGTCGCTGTCCCTGCCAAACTTGTCCGTGATCGCCTGGGCCTGTGCAAGCTCCGTACCAGATGCGGTCACCCTCCTGTGGGTGCAGACGGAAGCCAGGGAATGCTGGTGGCGTGAACAAGATCTCCCGTGGCACCGGGGAGACTCCACTCAACAGCTGCTGACGATCACGTGGGCTTGCAGCTTTGCTAAGTCCCTGACTGCCGCCTTTCGGCACTTTGTAGAGCAGAATGCGCTGACCGTCGGCCGCAGCCTGGATGCGGATGCGAAAGCCGCCGACCTCGCTTCTTGTGGCGACGCGCCGGCGGCCCCGCAGTTGGAGGACCGAAAGCGCGCCATCCCTAGACATATCTAGACATCCTAGACCCACCTAGACTCTTTGTCTGGCGGAACCCCAGGCCCCAAGCCGGTAATGTGGCGGCCCGAATAATGGACCCCCCCCCCCCCCGACCAAAACTTTTGGCTTGAATAATCTGGAACCGGGGGCGCCTCTGGGTGGGCTGGCTCAGGACCTGGGTGTCTGGGTGGCTTTGATTAAGCTAGAAGGGAATTGAGGGGGCCGAGGGGTTTGGGGG